TCCATTTACCACCAAGTCTTTTGTAAAATTCTACTACTATTTCATCTTCTTCCTTAGTCCATGGTTCATTATTAATATCTGGATGTAGTTAATTAAGATAATGTTCTCTAATCTGTTTTCCAGTTCTTTATGGGAGAAAAGAACTAATTTTACTCCAATGATAACCAAATTTAGACACTAAGTCAATTAGTTTTTGATTTTCTTCTTCAGTCCATTACTTTCTTAATTTGAATCCTTTGATCCTTTTCCATCTCTATGCACATTATGATGGATTTCTTCCATCAATTCTTCTTGCCACTTCAATCCAATCTAAATTGTTTTATTTCCTTAGTTCTGTCAAAAGTTCATCCTCCTTGGTGGTCCATGGTTTTCTTTATGGTATTGGTGTATGTGAATTTGATGATGATATTGACATTTAATTAATTTTTGAAAAATTTGAAGGAAAGAGTTATTAATATGAATTCAGTTTTTTCTTTTATTCAGTTATTTCAAACCATCATCATTTTAATTAATAAAAAGTTTATTAAAATCTTACTTAATACTACATCTTTTGATCTATATTTTTTAAATTATTCATTAACTTATAACAAAACCCATCTCCAAATATAAGTTTTTGTTTTTTACCATAACAAGTTATATTATGCATCTAAAAGTGAGTATTTTCATTTTAGTTATAAAACTTTATATAACTTTAAAAAGTAAAATTACTGTTATTCATATATGCAATTTAATATATTTAGTAATGTTTAAAGGCTTCTCCACTTTGTTTTATATATTTGTTTTTTCATCATGTCTAAATTTTATAATAACTAAAAATTAAGAGTTTAAACTAAAACTTTTTGCTTTATATGTAACTTATTAAATGAAGCATTCTTATTTGACGTGTTGTTGATTAAAAATTAACATACATTTTCGATTGCCAGAAAGTTACAAATCATTTTAGGGATTTAAAAATTTTGGAAATCTAAATAATAGTATGTTATTAATTTTGAGTTCATCTAAATAAATTTACATCTTGTATTAATAATATAAACTTTGATGGAGTTTATTGATTTTTTTCAAAGTAATAATGTTTAGGAAATTATTTTGAATTATTTTTCAAAACTACTTTCCAAATAATAATCTTTAATAATAGAATGAAATAGAATATTGTTTATTTTTGGATCAAATAATTCTAATGATTTATAAGATAATTATATACTTTTAATTAATTTTGAGATTATTAATAAACACTATTTGAAAAAATATGTGTAATTAAATATAATAATAATTGAAGTTTAATAATATAAATCAAATAAAAACTATATTTTAATTCAATTCTGAATAAAATTAGGAGATTCAAGTAAATGACATTTATCATCAATTTGAACTAAATCAGGTTCATCTTTAGCATGAATACTATTAGCTTTATTTGCAGCTGCTGCTGCTAAGAACATTTCTTTATTTTCGAAAGAAATATAAACATTACTGCTAAGTTTTCTTTTAGTACTTAACAATTCTTATTCATCTGTTTCTATTTTAAAATTGGTTTTGAGTAATTTTTTAACTTTATTTAATTTTTATAATCTATCATCCAATTCAAAGATTTATTGACTACTTTAACAATTATTAATAGTTTATGTATGTCCTTTTAATTTTTCCTTATATTTCTACAATAATAAAGATATTATACATTCATAATTTATTTAAATGGTTTAATTGACATATTATTGAGTATATTAGATTCATTTGATTAAATATCAGATAATATCGAATTTAATTCATTTTATACTTCATAGACTTATTATAAATTATTTTATGATTGTAATTGTTACAATAATTTCATTGACTAAATATTTATCATATATAGTAATTATTATAATTCTGTGTTTAATGAATTGAATTAAGTTTAATAAGAATTTCCTTTAGAAATTTCAATGATTGATTAGCATTCTTATTATAATGATGATAATGATTTCTAAAAATCTTTTAATTCCTTTGCTTTATCTTCAGTATCATCAGTTATACTAGTGAATGTATCAGTTGATTCTAATAGAAATGGAGAATTAGATAATAATGAATTTTCATCCACAGACCAAAAATTAGCTCTACTAACAGATTAATTTTCTCTTTTTTTATTTGATTGTTTAACTTGATAGTTTTCAACAGGAAAAAGAATATTTCCTTTAATTAGTTTCCCAACAGAACATTCAGAACAATAAAATATTGCTCCAATATTGCGATTATATTCAAAAAATTTTGCCTATTTTAACAGATTTTTATACTTTCTTATTAGCATGATATGCACATCGAAATTAGTTTCCTTTTGTAAATGATTTTTATTTTTATTCTATTGGTGATAAGCTTAAAACTTTCTATCCTACATTTTATGAAACACTGACTTTATTTCTGCTATTAGTTTTTCTAGTTTAAAGTACTTGCTTCAAAAATATATCATCCATCATTTTCTTAGGAGATACCATCGAAGTTGGCAATGATGTTTTTTCTTATTACATATATATTGAAAATACTTTTAAGGATATTTGAATTTTAGTAATACTAGAGTAAGGAATTAACTTCATTAAACAAATTTATATTTTCTTTGTTTTTGTTTCTTTTTTTAGTTGATTAATTTGTGGATTAATTCATTAATGGACTACTTTCTTCTTTATATAATTGAATTATACCTTATTATTAAGACGAGAAATGCTTGCTTTCTGACATTTTTTTCATGGTGTTCATTAAAAATATTCGTTAAATAACAAATAATAAAATTTGATATCAAATATTGAAAAAAATCAACAACAATATTAAAATCTTTATTTTAAAGTTTCCTTCAGTTTTTGTTCTATTTTTTTTAACTCTTTATTTTCTTGAATTAATTTTTTTTCTATTTTACTATAGGCATTAATTCATAAATTTTGTTTGTTAATTCTTTAATCTCTTTTTAATCTCAACCTTAAATTTATCACCTATAGGTAATTAATTAATTAATTCAACTCTCTAAATATTTATTTTGTTTAAGTTCTTATTACTATAGTTCCTCTTACATATATATTTAGTATTCTACAGATTTTTGGAATAATGAGACTGAGAAAGTTATGTCACATTAAATTGTTAGATGATATATATTTGATTAAAGAGTAGAGTATTACATTTCGTCTATGCTTTTTGCAATAGAATGTTTTTAAGATTATGGAGACTATTAAATATCTATAGTGAAAATGATAAATAATAAATTTAAATCTAATAATATTAATATTTATAAGATATAAATTTAGAAGTATAAGATTAGAAAAGTAATAAATATATATTTTTTTATTTATATTTTTTATTAATATGATTAATTTTATTTTATTTTTTGTTTTCCTCAATATAATTGTTAGAGGAGAAATAGTTTTAGAAAGTTTCACTGATGCCAAATAAACAAATGATAATAGCACATTTAACATTTAAAATGATGAATATTGTTTTTGCAATTTGAAAGTCAGAGAGATTGATGATAGATGTTGTTGTGATCCAGACATTAAAAATTCATCGTCCACAATTCCAAGTGATTGTTTATTAGGATCTGTAAAAAGGACATGCATTAAAAAATATATTTTATCAAGATAAAATGTTGACTAATGTAATATTCAAAATTATTTTTAAGGGATCTAAGTTGAAGAATAAGCCAATTAAATTTGCTTTATTTATGAAAAAAGCAGTCTATCAACTTCTGGTGTTAGAATGCCATTAACATACAATAATCCAACTTATTTGTAAGATTATTTTAAAGTTAATATTATACCTGAAACTAAAGTCTCAAAAGCAGATTCCCTTTAAGTAACAATTTATTAAACTAATGATAAATCTAATATACTCTTTTATAGAGATTCAAATGGAATATGTAAATAAACTAAAAGGTTTATAAATTTTAAATAAATTCATAAATAGAGTTGTCTAATGCTTACATGTTAATCTACTACACAATCCATCATAGCTAATAATATATAGACTTAATTTTATGCAAAAACAACTGATGTATTTGCATAATCAGGAACAAAGCCTACTGGATGTGTAATAGGTTAATCTATATTTATGGGAACTTCATCAGTATAAACAACACCAAGTTTTACATCTAATACATTTGCATACTTTTCAAATGATTAAGCTCTTTACACTTATTTCAGTGAAGTGATATATGCTAATGTTTGTAAAAATTACAATCTATTTTAATAGCTACAAATTCTAATTTCTAAGGAAAGGCTGGATATGATTATGGATAATATATTCAAGGACATGTAAATTTATAAACAAATCCTTTTGGCTACAAAGTTTATAGAGGTAAAGTATCACTTACTGATTCAACTTGTTCAGTTACTGATGATCAGAACCCACTTAATTATGAACCTCTTAGGTTTGGTTAAAATTTATAATTTTCATGCTCATATTCACTTAATTAAACTACTATCTCTACATTTTCTTGGTCTGGATTAACCATATTTAAAAGTTTCCCATACAATACTTTGTTGGGACTTGCAAAAACTCCTTTATTTGGAACTAGTAGTTTAGATTTTGTTAATACAACAACAGCAATACCTTCAACTGATTATATTTATCTTACATAGCATGTATTAATCTTTACAGATGAATTCGGAATGAAAGAAGGTAGATAAAATTATATATCATCTTTTTAAATTGTTTATTCTAATGGAATTCTAAAGACAGCTATACCTACTAATACAAAACTTTATAGATTTAATTTAAAAGTTAAATTTATCAGCCTACCTCAAGATGAAATCGAAAATTCTGTTCCATAAGATCCACCTTTTATACCTTAATTACCATCAGATATATTCTTCCCAATTTGGTATGAAACCTTTGGTTCATTAATAAGTACAATAATGATTGTTTTTATATTTTATATTTGATAATATTTTATAATATCATAGTATTTATCTAACATCTTATTAATTACATTATTAATAATTTAAATTAAAAATATAAATCAATTGATTTTTTATATCAAATTATTAATAATGTTTATTATTTTTATATTACTTCTTTTAGATTAGACTCAGAGTAATAGAATCACTAAACCAACTGTGACAGTTATAGATGAGACGTTTTAGTCAAATGATTTTTATAGATAAGCATCTGAGATTATTGAAATACCATATGGAGCGTAATTTATATAATCCACATTAATATAGTTATCCAGGAGTATTTGCTATAGATTTACATTAAAGAGTTAAAGGTGAAATCAGCAATAAAAGCATTAATTTAGGAGATTTTGAGAAAGTAGAAGAAGATCTTTTAGAAGAAGATGGTTGTTATTCAATATAGAGAAATATTGAAATTAGTATGAAATTAAAGTTATGGCTTGACAAAAGTGGTTTAACACGAGATGTATATTGCACTGATGTAGCTTTGGCTGAAAAATTTAGGAAGGCTTATGTTGTCAGAAATGATTTTACAATTATATAAGTGGATTTGAATTAAGGTTTATTTAAATTAGAACTTGACCCTATAAAATATTCATTTGCCAATTTACTTAATTATGATTAGGAGGACACTGATTATCATCCATATTTGGTAGGAGATAGAGAATCTAACAAAATATTTATATTCACAACAAATGGGGGTTTGAGTTTTGAGAGTAATATGAACCATGACTTAGAATTTAAAGTAGAAGAGGAAATAAAAAAAAGAGATAAAATCTATAACGTTCATTATAATGAAAAACATTAATTGATATTTGTGGCTTGTGGATATGAAGGTATAGATATATACAAAATAAATAATGGAACATTAATATTTTTGAAGGATATTTCATCATCATATTTAGGAATTGATAGTTAAATAGTTGATGTGAATAGTAATGGAGAAGATGGATTATATGTATTAGATTTTGAGAGAGGATTAAAATTTTATTGGATTAGAAATATGATGGAATTAATTTACTAATTTACAATAATGATTTCAAATGGTTAAAGTTTTGATTTTTATGAGAATACATTTTTTATAGTAGCAAAAACAATTAATAAACAAGATTTTGCAATAGAAGTATTTGTTAATTAAGTAACTTATGATTATTATATTAATAACTATTTTTTTGATGAAATGACTATAAATGATGTGAATGTATTTTAATATTATGCTGTTTTAATTGGAGATGATGGTCATAAAATTATTTATCATTCAATTTATTAAGGTATATATTAATATCATTAAATAAAGGTTTTTTAAATGAAAATTTAATATCTCATACAACATTTTATTAACCAGATTTAGTAAAAGTAAAAGAATTTGAATTTGATGGAGAAGAGTTTTCTAATCAAAGAATATTTGCAGCAATTAGTAAATATGAATTCTAATTAATTAATATAATAATGAATATGCCTAAAATTGAATGTAAATATAGTGATGCAGGAATGAGATAGTTTTATGTTATGATTAATTCAACAAATTGTGCACAAAAAGATAAGGAAAATAATCTTAATTATTAATTCACTTTATGTAATGTATCTCATTCATTCACTTTTACAACAACAGAAGTATATTAGATATTTAATATTATTAGTTAGAAGGGAATTATAATACATATGCTTATTACACTCTTACAATATATGTCTTAATTGTAGCTGGTATTTGGTTAGCTGTTCTTTTATATTATTTAATAAAGAAGTGGGGATATAAAATTAAATATTTAATTTGGAGAAAGAAAATTGTTGATGCTACTGCTCCATATAATGAAAGTTTTGATGCCAAAGAAACAGAACTACCTGAAACATAAAAGCAATGATTTAAATGATATCTATACATAATATAATCTCAAATAAATTATATTAAATTATTATTAAGAAATAAATACTATTTTAACATTATAATTTTGATTATACTAGATTTTAAAATTTAATATATATATATACAAAATGTTTAAAAATCATTTAGACACTTATAAACTAATAGAATTCTTTCAAAACTTAATAATAATAATTTGAATAAATAGATATTTAAAAGATTTAAGTTTTGTTTTATTTTTATTATTATATTGAATCAAATATTTATGAATGCTCTAAAATCTAAACCATTACCACTATATAAGTATGGTGCAATAAATGAATTATCGGCAACTTTTACATGATATCCAAAATCAGTAGGATTTCCTAATACTAATGTATTTGAGAAGGTAGTGTCTTAAGCCAATCTTTTCATAATATAAACTATTTTACTTAATTTATGAAGCTTATACATTCTCAATTCTACTAATAATACGATTTTATTCAAAAACTACTTCATATGTATTGTCATTATTTTTGAGTACTTGTCTAATAAAAGGAATTGCTCTTTTTGCCTAATAATTTAATACAAAAATATTTACTTATCCTTATTTTGCTAAATAAAAGAATGCAGCAGCAACAGTTGGCACTGTTAATATTGTTGAATAATATGCATCACCTCTGTAAAATAAGTAGAGGAAATAACCAGCAAAGACTCCTGCCAATATTTAATATCTTAAAACATGATGTTCTTATGCTTATGATTCATAAACTAATTTCTATCCTTTTTCATTAAATCTATTTTAAGCAAATCCTGTTTAATATTCTTTCTCATATAATTCTTATAAGAATAATTTGAAATCATGTCCATCAACATTTCTAGCATATTCTTAATCTTCAGCTGAAAATTGTTTTGTTGCTCTATCAACAGTTTAAATAAAGAGTTATTTTTCTTATGTTTATTAATCAATCTTCTGACTAATTTAAATTTCAGTTTCTTGATTTGATTCAATGAATGATTTGATCAAACCAACATATCTATTTATTAAATATGATAAAGAATACCTTCCTTAATTAAATTAATAGTTTTAGAAAATTGATTCAAGTGATTATGCTAATTAAGCTGCCAATATTGGATCTTTGACTTCTGTTTTTATTTTATTTATGACTGCATTAGTTCTTTATCTGTATATTTATTCTAATTATTAGACATAGCCTCTAAAATATTATATAATCTCTACGGTGATACTAAATTATCATAGTGAATTCCTTCCAAATAAATACTAAACAAATCTTGAGCTGCTTATTTTCTAGCTTCATTTGTAAATTTGCTGATTTCTGGTATTCTGTATTATAGACTTTAAGCGAATTATTCTAAGTTTTCAGTATTTTGTTGATTTTATCTGAATAATAATTCTAATTTCTCTACATGAACCTAAATTAATAGAAATAAATTAGTAAACCTTATAATCATTAGGATTTGGGAAATTTTAAGGTCGAAGTAATTAACTCAATTGATAAATACCAGAGAGTGTTGTTAATTGAGAGGTTGTCAATCCATATTTATTTGCCACTTATTAGAATTAGGCAGTTTAAGCTTATTAAGCAGATGGATTAGCAGCTTCTCTTAAACATACATACTCTCTTAAGTATCTTAAACGAGTTGGATTATGTCTTATAGAATTTCCAAGCACTTTTCTAAACATACTTAAGATATTTAATTTAAAGAATAAATGGATATTTAAGTTAATATAAATTTATATAAAGAATAATAATATTTAATCATAGTAACAGGCATTTAAATTAAAGTCCATTCTTCTAAGATTATATATTAATAAAGATAATCTAACAACAGCAAACTTGAATTTACCAATCTATTTAAAATCATTTATTATAATGTTATTGTACTATGTATATTTTAATTTTATTATAAGATTTATGTATTTTATTGATTTTAATATTAAAAATAATATATATTTAATAAATATCAATCTCCTAAATACTTATTAAAATCAATAATTTATAATTTATATTCTTCCAATTCTTCTACATTATTTTCATCATCTATTGGTTAATTATTAGATTCTTGATCCATATTGGATTCTTCTTATGCAATTTACACCTTATATTATTCACCATTATAAATTTTATTATTCATAGGAATTTCAACAAAATACACTTCTTCATAATCAGGTTTTTCATACTCATCTCTTGATAAATCATTATCTAAATATTCATCAAAATCAATAGAAGAATCAGTCTTAGCTAAAAATGATATACCACCATCATAGATTTTGTTTTTAGAAATTTCAACATATCTTTACATAGCTCTAAAACATGTTTAGGCATATAAATAAGAAACTAAAGGATTAACATCTTAATCTAAATCAGTTCCATATTCTTCTTCTATTTCTGATCTTGTTTCCATTTCTTTCATAGCTAGTTTTCTCCCTCCTTCTTCTGTTAAATTAATTTCAAGTTTTTCTAAATAAGCCTCTTTTATTACAGAAAATAAAACTAGATTATATGGTATATTGCCTTATAAATCACATTTTAGTTACATATCCATAATTTTAAAGAGAGCATTTTTTATTAAATCTGCTTTGATATTAAATTTAAGTTGATTAACTTCTTCTTATGTATGTTATGGATTGATATGTTTCCAATCTTCAATGCCTTTTTACATAGATTTAAAAATATCTAAACCTAATGGTTTAGGTAATGAAAGTATCAAATCTGTCAATTTATTCTGATTAATTATTGTTCCATCTTAACTAAAACGAGTCCAAACATCAAGTGTTTTATTTTAATATTCATCAAATCTATTAAGTGGATTATCTTCATGAAAATAATTTATATCATATTAATCTAATACAATAAGAATAAATAAATTGAGCATTACAAAATTCTATATCAAAATAAATACAACCCAAAATAAAGCATTATAATATGAACCATAATTCATAGTATCATACATTATTCTATTCCAATCTAATCCAGTTTAAGATAGAAACAATAAAATAAAAGAATGATGAAAATCTTAGAAATTGTTAGTATCAGATATAATCTTTCCTTCCTTAATTTCTGAAAATAAAAATACTCCTAAAACAGAGAAAATTGAATGAATTAAAAAATATAAAGCAGCTGCATTAATAATTGCTGGAATTGAGAATACTGCTGTATCAATTAATTTTTTAAGACCTTTAAATTATTTAACTAATCTTAATAATCTTATAGCTCTTAATATTCTAAATCCTTTTCCTATAGATAATCCACTCTCATTTGTAACAAAATCAATAATTGATATAAGTACAATAACAAAATCAAATTAATTCCAATTAACTTTAAAATATGCTATTGGACCAAATGTTATAATTTTAATTATTGCTTCAAAACAAAAGATAATTGATATGGCAAAGTTGATTTAATCAATAACATAAAGATAATCAAAATTTGCATCTAAATAATAATAATATTTAAATTACCATCCATATACATACCAGTAACAACAATATTTATTATAATAAAGAAAGATATCATCAAATCAAATTTCTTTGCTTTTACAATTCTAAATAAAAATGCTTATATTCTATTCTTTGGCATATAATATAAACTTAAATCAGGTTTAGCTTCAATTATTAATTTTTGAGTATCAATCCATTATATTTGATCTTAAGTAAGTGAAGAATCTCTTGCTTTTTCTTCTGCAATATGAAAATTTACTAAAATAACTCCAATAAATAAATTATTAAGTAAAATTGAACCTATCAAAATAAAAGCCAAAAAAAATAGAAAGAATTCAGGTGAATTATTCTTTACTAAACCATTTTCAGTACCATCTTTAAAATATAATAATTAATCTGGCCAATCCAACAATGTACTTAAACAAAATAATGTTAACATTCCTGAAAAGATATTCTCAAAATTACTATCATATATTCTCCATATTCCTTCACACTATATATATAATATATATATATTTTACTTCTTCTTTATTTACATAATGCATAATACCATCTTACATATCACAATAATAAAGTTTCCCTTTTGCAAAATTGATTCCAATTATAGCAAACATCATCCAAACAAGTATTATTACTATTGCAACATTTAAAATACCATCAGCTGATTACAATAATGCTGATACAATTATCTTCATTGATCTATTATGAGATACAAATCTTAATGGTCTCAATGTTCTAAATAATCTTAATATCTTTAAATAACTCAAATCTATTGCTGCTACACTTATATCTACAATTGATCCTATTAATATGATAAAATCAAGAGCATTCCAAGAATTACGTAAATAACTCAATTCATCTCCAATAAATCCAAATGCTATTATTTTTAACAATGCTTCAGAACCAAATAAAATAACCATTGAAAAATCTAACCAATAAGATACAACATCATAAGAATTACCTAAATTATAAGTATCCAAAATCAATTTAGCACTTGATATCAATATTAAAATCAAAATAAATATATCAAATATTTTATCCTTTACAGCTCTATAACACATTTTTCGAAATGTACTTTCCTAAGAGAATATCATTAAAGCATATTCTCCAATACCTCTCTCTTAAAAGTAAATAAATTTTTAAGTTTATAATTTTTAATATTCTTCAACATCATCTTATAATGAAGATTTACTTGACTTTCTACTTCCTTGAGGTTTAGAAGATAATGCAGATTCAAATATTTAATCTCTACCAATAATTATATTGTTATCTATTTAATTTTTATCTCTTCTATATTCTGCTTCAAAATTATCTAAAAGCACTGCCATAAATAAGTTCAAAAAAATATAATTACCAATTGCAATCCATATAACTAAATATAAGAATACAACAATATTATTAGCATCTGATAAAAATAAAGAATACAATACATCACTCCAATTTGAAATTGTAAATAATTAAAATACAGTTTCAAATGAAATAATAAATGAATTAAAAGTATACCTATAATTTTAATCTGAAATCTATCCTTAAAATAATGAAAATCCTAAGATAGTAAATGTATATAAAAAGAAAAGCATTAAGATAAACATCCATAATATTTATTCAAATGCATTTCCTAATACTTTTAATAAAAATCCCATAAATTTTAGAGATCTGATTAATTTAGATATTCTTAATACTCTTAAGGCTCTAAAGATACGTAAAGATCTTAAAGCACTAAAACCAGACTTTCCACCATTCTCTTAATTTATTATTACTTCATATAAACTGATTCCTACAATAAAAGCATCAAAAATATTAAATTTATCCTAAATGTATCTTTGAATTCCTAATCCTATTAATTTAAATCCAAGTTCAATAATAAAAATAATAGTAAATGCTAAATTAAAGTCAGATAATAATTTATCATCTGTAACTAGACCATCTAATGCTAATACAATTGTATTGAATGCAACACACATATTAATTAATCTATTAAAGTATTCACTAGAAATTAGATTTAATAATTTAACTCTAAATACTATAATAATACCTGATATTCCTGGTAACCAAATTTCATAAATATTTATAGTATAATTTAATGCAAGCATGATTTTATTCATTAATTCTATTGTTTAATCATCTACATAATCACTCATTGGAAGTACATCTTCTATAGAAGATTATTGAACAATTTCTTATTGTGAACTTGCATCAGACTAATAAATAATCAGAATAATAGATTTACCATCATTCTTACATAATCTTAATAATTAGTACTTGTAGTGATTGTAATTTGATCATAATTCAAATATCTTAATTGTTCTTTAAGATCATATTATACTTCTACTTAACCATATTATTCTAAATCTACAGCTTAGACTTCTTTCCTAATTAATAATTAAGCCTCTTAAAAGTTTAATTATACATCATGTAATATTAATTTTTTATATTATTATTACTCTTCCTAATCTTGAAACTTAACTTACTTTTAAGATCGTTTAACACTTGTACTTTTTATTTGAATTGATGAGGGTTGAATTTTTGAAGTAGATTTTTAATTAATAAGTTATGTTTACTAATTAGAAAATACATATTTAACTTATTTTTTGATCTTTCTATTAATTTCTTCATTATTCTTAAGATTTTATTGTATCTTTTACATTTATTAAACTTCTAATACATCTAATTCTGAAGTTGAATTATAAGCTAAATATGGAACTTCTTTATAAAATTTAGTTTTAAATAATTTGATTTTTAATTGTTAATATCTATCATCATTAGCTTAATTAAATGTTTTACTTAAATAAGTAGATTTTTTCATAGTTTTTCTAGTAAATCGAGGTTTCTTTCTGCGAATGAAATTAACTTTAGATAATGGATTCTATTACATATCAGAATTAGATTTTTTGATTTAATTTAATTCTAATATTCCTAAATCCATTAATTCTTGATCAACTTATTCACTAGGAATAGAATTAATGATAGAATTTTCACTCTTATCCAATATAGATACATCATTTTTAACTTTATCTATTTATTTATTTTTCACATTGAAAGATCTTTATTTTACCTCTTATAACATTTATATTTATTAAGATGTTTTTGGAGCATAAGTACCATGTTAAATAGGAATTCTATTAAATGTTGGATTCAATTGACTAAATTAATTGTTAGGAGTTAAAAGTCCATTACTTTAATTTTCATTTGTAAGTATATTATTATTATGAGCTTAAGATAAGAAATCTAAGAGTTATTCATCAGAACCTTTAGGTGTTGTAATAGTCTTTTTTGATTGATGTTACCCAATCATTTTTAGATCATTTACTAGAATTTAATCAGATTCTGAAATTGAAGGTCTTACTCTTTAAAATATTTTCTTACTAAATTAAGATTTTGGAGATCCATTATTTAATTCATTAAGATTTCTTTAATTTTAAGGAGTAACATTTCGAGAATGATTATTTGGAGATTTATTATTATTATTTAAAATAGATTTACTTGATAATTATTTAGTTTAATTATTTAAAAGAGATCTATTAGATTGACTAAAAATCATATTACCTAATTTATTAGTAGGTGATATATTATATGAAAAACTAATATTTTAATCTATAGGACTTTATAAAATAGAATATCCTGGTTATTCATAATTAACATTAATTTTATTTCTAGTCTATTTAGATGGAGTTACACCTCCAATGATTGGTTATAATTTCTTACCCATTCCATAGATTCCCATAAATTTCTTGTCTTATTTCATAAAAGGAGTACTGAAATTGTTAGCAAATTTAATAGGATGAATTTTTAAATTAGGATTCTAAATTTAACTAAGATATTTAGTAGTTCTATATTTTATTTTAGTTTATGATCTTTATGATCTTTCTCTAAATGTAAATTGAGCATCACTTTTTCTTCTCATAGCTGCTTATGTTTATAATTTAATTGGTTCATATATTCCCATAATTCTCAATTCCCAATAATCATAACTCTCCTCAATAACTGGTTGTATTATTAATTTCTGATTATTAGAAAAATTAAGTTTAATAATAGCTAGAGTTAAATTGACTAAAAAGAATCCTCCAACCATCACTACCATAAAAAAATAGATATAAACTGCTTCATTATATGCTATTACAGTATAATCTAATATCTGAGACCAACTCTCTAATAATGTGCATATAAAGACTTATATTAATGACCATCCAAATGTATCAAAGTTAATTAAATTATTAAATGGATTAGCTATTTATTTAACACAATCAAATTCTCCTGCACATACTGAACATACTTCATCATTTCTAGGAATCCCTGTTTCTAGATTTACACATCTTCTCTTTAATCCACCACTGAAAAGTAAAAGAGCTACAATTGCAAATATTGAATATGAGAATACTAAGACTATTAATGCATCTTTCAATTAATAAACTGATTAAAATAACGAAGTCAATATTACTTTTAAAGCAGGAATACTTTAACCTGCATCCAAAGATCTTAATATTCTTATTGTTCTTAAAGCATTAAAATTAAATTATATATTCACAAAGTAAGGTAAGTATTAAAATATCAAAATTATAAAATCGGTTACATTCCAAAAATCTCTAAAATATGAATCTCTTTTAGAATACAAACCCTAAAATAATTATATATATATTAACTAATGCCAACATCTTGAAAATAGCTTCAATTGAATAACAAATAATAAAGATTATCTCATATTAATTCTCCTCTAATGCTAAACATAATGAATTCAAAATAATGATAACCATTAGTATCAATTGAAATATTTTGAGATTTATTAAATATTTCATTAGATATCTAATCGATTAAAAAGTAATCATCAATAATCTTCTTATCTTTAAAAAAGGGTAACTAATTTTAGATTAAATTTTTTATTACTCATCAATATAAATATATGCCAACTGTAATTGATTCATTGGTCTTAGTTTTATTTAACTACTTGGCATAGGCAATTAATGAGTATAGTCTATATAAAATTCATTATCCAAATCAATTAAATATTCATAAACTATTTCAGATTCTGTATTTTATTATGTGGCTATGTCATAATTAGTTCCATCGAAAATCAATTGTTGCATTCTTCTTAGATATTCTTTCCTCTCTTATCTTTACTTTTCCTCTTGAATCTGAATCAAACCAAACTATTTACTTCATATTCATCTTCATCCTCATATTATTCTAAAATTATGCCATTTTTCATAACTTTTAATGTAATTTAATATAATATTTCTTTATAAATATTTTTCAGTAGAAACAATACCATATATGACAAAACATCATCAAATTGATATTACTTTCATTATTACAATTATTAAATTCTAAGAATCCTAAAGATTATATTATATCTTCAACAAAAATTTGAATTAATTGGTAATTTTCTTCATCTAACACTTCAAATTAAGAAATAATAATATTTAATTCATAAAACAATTAAAATATATATTTCTTAGTATATCTTATATATCATTTTCCAAAATTTCCTAAAACAGATCTTAGTTTATCCAACTAACTTTTAGTTTCTGCCTATTAAGTCTATAATTTTTAATGTTATTATAACAATGTTGAATACTACTATTTAAACTTTTCATTCTCTTTTTATTTCTCTTATAATGTAGTCTTGGCTTACTGCAATTATTGCAATACTATATTCTTTTCATTTTAATATTGATTCACCTTATTTAAATTTTCTTTATTTAGAATTATTCAAAATACCTTTCAGTTTTTCATTTTCGGATGCTTTATCTCTTAGAACATTTTATAACTTTTACATATCTCCCTATATCTATTATACTCTTTTTTCAGATTCTTAAATCTTATTTTACATAATAGCCAATTATGCTTTATAACTTTCAACAGATTAAGTTGATTTTCTATATTCTTAATATTCCTAAGAAATTATAATAATAGATTTACTCTAGATGTTTATTATAGCATTTATGATGCTTTTTATAATTAAAGTTTTAGTTCTTCTATATCCTTAGTTTTTTATTCTAATAGACTTTTTAATTTTTAATTTTCTTCTAATAATTATCTCATTTATTATTCTTTTGTATCAATATTCAAAGCAATAGATTTAATTTAATCTTATTTTAATTAATGTGTTTATTTTAATTTATTGTGTTCTTGACTAAAATCGTTCATTTGATTTTAATATTATTATAATTATTACTATAATTATTAAATTTTTAATTATTATTCTCTTACAATTTTATCATTTGATAAATTATTCATATTACCTCCAGTGCTAATTCCTAGTTTCTTTTTCAACATTTCATTATCTGTAATTTATTATTCTAATGAATATTTAAGTCTTCTTAATTCATTTTCTAATACATCTTTTTCTTATTACATTCTTTAAAATCTAGGTTACATTTCTTATAATTCTTAATGTTTAGCATCATGGATTCTTTTTAACTTAATTAATTCTGCCTACATTTCATCAATAGCTTTTCCTGATTTAGGATCTTAATTTTTAAGTAATTAATTGTATCTCTATCTCCAATCTTCAGCTTCCTTTGTTTTATAATCATGTGTAAGTTTAAGTTTACGTATATGTTCTTCCATATCAGATATACCATTATTACCTTAATTTTGATTTTATAATTAAATTTAATATTGTTACAATTTCAAACATTTATTTTTCCATTCTTCTAATTCAGCAGTTCTCATTTCTAAAATTCGTTTTAATTTTATAACATCCAAATTTTAACTTTATAAATTTTCACTTATAATCAATTAACCATTTACTCCATATTTAGCCTTTAAATCTTCAACTTCTAATGATTTTAATTCATATAATTAACTCAATCTCTTATATTCTTATTCTAAAATATTTTAACTAAATGGTCTATTATAATTTTAATTTTCTTTATTTCTTATTTACATCTAAAGTGCTGCCATTTTATCTTTCCATTCTTAAGCCTCATAAGCTTTCTATTCTAATACATCTCTCAATTTTTTTAAATCATCAACATTAAGATCATGAGAATTATTTTAAATTTAATTAAATTTAAGTTTAATTAATTCTAATTCTTTATCCTTTTATTCTAATAATTCTACAAATTCATAATCTCTTTATTATTTTAATTCCTTAATCTCATTTTTTAATTGTTAATTTTCTTCAATAATTTTCTCAAAATCTACTTAATCAAATATTTTCTTTTTATTAGGACTAGAAAGTCTTGAATTATTCAAAGATTATTATTCTGGTTATTATAATAATAAATTATTATTTTATGAAATTGATAACTATTATTTTTAATTATTAATAAGTGTTTAAATCTAACCTTCTAGATCTTGAATCTTTTTTTCATATTATAATTATTAACTTACTGATAAATTTTGATTCATCTATTCTATAATTTATTCTTTAGATTTAAGATCAGCATATAATCTTCTAGCTAATTGTTCCAAAACACTTTTATGTAAATCAGGTTATTTAGATAACATTTCAAGTACAGTTTCTTTTGGAGCAATTTATTTAGTTTTAATATAATTTTTATCTATTTCTAATTATTCAATTTATAAATATTATTTATCTATTTCTGATTTTAATTATTTATTTTCATCTATTAATAAATTAATTCCTTATTTTAATTCCTAAATCTATTAATCTTTATCACTATCACTTATATCAAAATATTAGAAAGGTTATTATAATTATTATTATTAAATTTATGGTTATCTTTCTAATTATCCAATTCTTCTTCTTGCTTCTTCAAGTTCTATATATAATTTTTCTCTTTCTGCAAATAATATTTTTAATCTTTATTCATCACCATAATTATTTTAATTTCTTCTAGGTCTACTTTTTAATTCATCATTTTCTTATTATAATTAAATTACTATTCCATGTAATCTCTTTAATTCATTTTCCACATATAATCTTTCATTATTTCCAAAAAAATTACTTTCTAAAGCCAAACATTTATTTCTCCAATTCTCAATTTCTATTTCCAATCTCTTTTATCTCTCTTCATTAGGTCTAAATATATTCTCTTTAAAATTAATAAAATCTTATTCTAAATCTCTATTCCTTATTTTTAATTATTCCATTTCTCTTCTCTTTTCATTCAATTATTATTCCATATTATAAATTGTTGATTCTTAATCTTATATTTTTCTCTCTAATTATTCTTTATCTTTTAGTAATCTATCAAATGCTTACAATTTTAATTATATTCCCCTATTCTCTTATTCTAATCTCTCATTTTCTTCATTTGTTCTTATTAATCTATTTTATAAATCTTCAGTCTTTCTTTCTATTTCATAAAGATGTTTAGAATCATTTTCTAATTTTGTATGTTTATCTTTCCATAATACTAATTCTCTTTCAACTTCTAACTTCTATTATTTACATCTCTCCAAATCATTCTTTAATTATACATCATATTTCAAACCTCCCACTTATATTAACATACTTTCAATATCAGTTGATAATCCTCTTACTTTATCTTCATATGATCTTAATTAAGCTGATAAATTATCTCTTTCTTAAAGACCCTTCTATTATTCAAGTAATTATGATCTCAAATTTTCAAGTTCTTAATCTCTTTATATTAATTATGAATTCAATCTCTAAATTTCTTTACCCATTACTAATATTTTATTTGCTTCTTAACCTTAAGGTAAATTTTATATAAAATCTATTGCTTATAATCTAACCTTTAATTAATCAAAATCTTTAGTTTTAGCATCAAATTGTTATTATAAAATATCTAAATTACCTTAAATTAACATCTTATCATTATTTAATCTATTTATTTCTTATTACAATTGAATTTATTATTATTATTAAGGTTGATATTGCATTTGCTAATTAAATTGTTGCAATTAATTTTACAATTCTTGATTCTACTATTTCAAACTTTGATTCTCTGACATCAAAACTTACAAATTTCTTCTCAAATCCTCTGATTATCTACCATCAGATCCTCTTATAGATTAGGTCATTTACATCATTTATCTCAAACTATTGTTAATATATCTAATACATACCCTTCGATTTCTTTGTTCTTATTTTCAATTTCCTTTTATGCTTAAAAGTATTTAGACTTATATTCCTCCACCTATTATTTATGCAGATTTAATTCACTAATCAGATTAATCTTTTCCTAATCCTCTTATTACATAATTTTATTTAATTAAAATTTCAAATAATAAAAAAACTCAATAACTTCCAACGTCTCTTTTTTTTTGTTTAAACTATAATTTTTATTGGTTTATTAATAAATCATTCAAATAATCATTAAACCATTCTCAAAATTTTTATTTTATTTATCTTCTATTTACATATTTACTATGATATTAAATACTTAATTCAATATTATTACCCTATTTATACAACAATCTTTATACTATACAATTAAAAATATTTCATTATAAATAATTTAATTTTCAAATACAATAGAGTTTTATCAGAGATTATAATCAATATTAACATTATTATTGAATTTCTGTTAAAGATTTATTAAATTTAAAATAAATTCATTTTTTTTTTCATTAAATATAGAAATTCTAAATAAATTAGAAAGATGATATAATATTTAATAATTTTATTAAATATTATTAGATAGAAACTAATTTCTTAAAGTAGTTTTTTTTTGGTCAATCTCTTCATATTATAAGTTTGTCCAAATTAGATGATATGGTTATTATTTATAAATATAAAGACACTTTAGAATGAACTTCGAACTAGAATGTATCTTTAATAATTACATAAAAATTTAAACCTTATAATAAATAACTATAGAATGAAGATTAGCTGTTAGATTTCCATATAATTTTTATAAAAATTAATCTAAAATTATCTTTTGCTTTCTTAATTAATGAAGAATTTAAATATATTACGACTGCTTTTATGAATAAGTTATTTTATTATTAATGCAAATATGTCTAATTTAATAGCCTTTAATACTAAAGAAAAACTTTATAAAAATATGTCTTCTCCTATTAATTAAAAAATATAATGATTTGAGTTCAAAATTTAATCAATAATGATTTGTGAAATTTATAAGTATTCATTACAACATGTAATTCTTTTTAAGTGTTTCATTTGTTTATTTAAGTGCCTTCTATATCTTATAATCTAAATCAGTATTGGTAGTTGAGTCATCCAAGTTTGAAATAGTTTCTTTAGTCTATAGCGATTGATTAGGTGTAAACATTAATTTAGATTACTACTCTTATTATTTAATAAATTTAATTGGACTTGGAGTTGTAATTAATTATCTGGCACTGCTCTATACAATAATAATTTAATTTGGATGAATTTTTGTTTGGGCTATTGTTCTGGAAGTAAAAGGGGAGTAAGAGAGACGAGGTTATATTGTTTTCGTTAAAGGTGATTAAGATTATTTATTAATATATCTTTGACTTTAGGTAATTGTTTTAGGTGGACTAAACAATATCTTTTATTATAAATTGGCTTATTTATTTACATAAAATATGAAATCAGTTCGTTAATTAGGAGATTAAAATAACAAATGTTGAATTTTATTAATTAATTTATTTGAGTAATTTGTGCATCTTAATATTTCATTCACCAATGTTTAATTTACTTAATTTTTTAAATAGACTATTTCCATGGATGTTAGAGTCATTAGATGAAGCATAGTTATTCCTAAACTGTATGATGTGCTTTTAAAAGGATTAGATTGCACATTATAAATTTATTCAGGTGCATAGTATCTTTATTAATTTTGAGTATTATCTATCACCCATTATTAATTTAATTTAATTGTATCATTCGGAGTCAATAAAATATTCTAGTTATCATAAGTAATACTTAAGGTCTAANAAGATGATATAATATTTAATAATTTTATTAAATATTATTAGATAGAAACTAATTTCTTAAAGTAGTTTTTTTTTGGTCAATCTCTTCATATTATAAGTTTGTCCAAATTAGATGATATGGTTATTATTTATAAATATAAAGACACTTTAGAATGAACTTCGAACTAGAATGTATCTTTAATAATTACATAAAAATTTAAACCTTATAATAAATAACTATAGAATGAAGATTAGCTGTTAGATTTCCATATAATTTTTATAAAAATTAATCTAAAATTATCTTTTGCTTTCTTAATTAATGAAGAATTTAAATATATTACGACTGCTTTTATGAATAAGTTATTTTATTATTAATGCAAATATGTCTAATTTAATAGCCTTTAATACTAAAGAAAAACTTTATAAAAATATGTCTTCTCCTATTAATTAAAAAATATAATGATTTGAGTTCAAAATTTAATCAATAATGATTTGTGAAATTTATAAGTATTCATTACAACATGTAATTCTTTTTAAGTGTTTCATTTGTTTATTTAAGTGCCTTCTATATCTTATAATCTAAATCAGTATTGGTAGTTGAGTCATCCAAGTTTGAAATAGTTTCTTTAGTCTATAGCGATTGATTAGGTGTAAACATTAATTTAGATTACTACTCTTATTATTTAATAAATTTAATTGGACTTGGAGTTGTAATTAATTATCTGGCACTGCTCTATACAATAATAATTTAATTTGGATGAATTTTTGTTTGGGCTATTGTTCTGGAAGTAAAAGGGGAGTAAGAGAGACGAGGTTATATTGTTTTCGTTAAAGGTGATTAAGATTATTTATTAATATATCTTTGACTTTAGGTAATTGTTTTAGGTGGACTAAACAATATCTTTTATTATAAATTGGCTTATTTATTTACATAAAATATGAAATCAGTTCGTTAATTAGGAGATTAAAATAACAAATGTTGAATTTTATTAATTAATTTATTTGAGTAATTTGTGCATCTTAATATTTCATTCACCAATGTTTAATTTACTTAATTTTTTAAATAGACTATTTCCATGGATGTTAGAGTCATTAGATGAAGCATAGTTATTCCTAAACTGTATGATGTGCTTTTAAAAGGATTAGATTGCACATTATAAATTTATTCAGGTGCATAGTATCTTTATTAATTTTGAGTATTATCTATCACCCATTATTAATTTAATTTAATTGTATCATTCGGAGTCAATAAAATATTCTAGTTATCATAAGTAATACTTAAGGTCTAATATCATTGTGGAAAATTTATTATTATTAAAGGTAGGCTAAGGCTGAGAAAAATTGATCAAGCATCTATAAAAGTTCATGTTCTTGATAATAGTTCTAAATAACATTTGATCAATTATTACATTATTCAATTTTCTTTTTATGATGTCTTATTATAAATCATAGTCATAATGCTCAAAATATATTGATACATTATGCTTATCTAATTCATATTTGTGCAATTTTATTATGTTCTTATGAATTATTGATTGACTTAATTAGCATTTATGAATACAACCAGCTAATTAATCAGGGCAATCCTTAAAGTCAATATCCTTTTAAATTATCAATTGATTTTCAAATATAAATTTATTGATATTTCCATAACGTAAGTCATTTGCTATTTGTTTATTTGAATTGTTCCCCATATATCGTTAAAAATATAATTAATAATCAATTTAAATTATGATTATCAAAGATAAAATATAAATAATATACTTAGAAAAATCAATTCATTAAAGCGTGGATTAAAGATTTATAAAAATATAGTTTATAAGCTAAAAAGTTGAATAAAATAACTATTAAAATAATATTATGATATGTGATTTTATATAGAACCCTAAGAAAATTTAAGTTTTCTTACTTTCACTCAGACTTTTTGAAGTTCTATAATACAGATTAATTGTTTTTAGAAATTATATTATTAATTGTTTGCTTTCAATTTAATAAATTATTTTAAATTAAAATCTAATAAGACCATAAATATGAGAATTTTTGCAAACTAATATTCACACTTTGAAAATTTAGATTTTCATATTATATCTAATCATTTCAACTATTAATTTAATAATTGTATAAATTTGGAACTCAAAAATAAAAAATAATTAAAATTTATTTATTATTATTATTCTTAATTATGAATCATTGCCATAATCAACTTTTTAAAATTAATTAAATACATAATATTCATTTGATTAAATAAATGGTCTAGATTTTCTATTGATTTAATATTCCTTCATTTATATTTACAAATTCTATAATTTAAAAATATTTGATGAATAAGAATTAATAACTTATCATTGTATAAATAATTAAATTATACTTCATAAAAGCATAGCATATTGTTTAATACATGATAGTAGAATAATTATTAAGAATTTAATTGCTTTTTGCAATATCAAAAACAATTATAAAACAAGATTATTTAATATATTGGGATTAGATATTATCAATAAATTATGGCATAAAGAGAGAATTCTGATATTAAGATAAAGTCCAAGGCTTCATAGGATCAAATAGCATAATATTTGGTGAAGGCTGTTTTGCTTTTAAGAGATAGAGAGAATTAGAGTGAGTCAGTCAGACTTTCTGGAATAGGATCAGCTATTTCAAATGTAATTTTGGTTGCTGAAATAATTAGAGCAAGATTTAAGGTAATAAAATAGTAAATGGTAGGGGTTGAGTTCAATTGCAACATTGGAGAATATAGAGAAGTAAATTGAAGATAATGAAGTAAAATCAAAAATATATATCCCTAAAATTACAATTAAATTGACGTACTTAATTTTTATATTTTAGATGCAATCCAAGTTAAGAAGAATTGTAATAGCCTGGATATTAAGCACCAGGAGATGTGAAAGATGACAAAAAATTTGAACTATTTTAATATGTCATGATCTATGCAAAGAATTTATTTTTTTTAAGAGAAAATAGATAAAGACAGAATAAAAATTAGAGCTAATAAAATGAGAAAGTTGGCCAATCCTAAGTCGTAAGGGGAGAATTGAAGAGTAGAGGAAATGCTCAAGTATAAAGAAGAAAACCTGATTAACCAGAATATAATGTATTATTTGATTTTAATAGGAGAATCAAAATAGAGATAATTAAAAAATAACTAGGCCAAAACCACAATATAATTAGTCTAATTCAAATTATAAATAAAAGAATAGTGGTGAAATCAGAAATAATTAAGTTGAAATCAGAACTAAGTAAGGTGAAATTAGAACAAGAGGAGGTAGCAGAAAGTGATTTAAATAATTTATTAGAAAAATTATATAATTTAGGTTATAAATAATTTATGTTTATGTAAATATTGTACTAAAATAAAATGATATCATTATTAGGTAAGGATATCGGAATCACCTGCATCAAGAATGGCTAAACTTGAACATCTGTGTAATTTACCACAGGCGGTACCTATAATAAGATTAAATCACTCATGCCCATTAATTCAATTTAAGAAGAACAATGTCTCCCTCTAAACCCCCATACCTAAATCAACGTTGTTTCCTTAATATAACACAATGGTGATTTGAGCTAACATAGCATAATATTCAATTTGGGTCTTTCTGATTGTGGGACAATTGTTAGAAATAAACACTAATTTGGCTGAACCATTTCTAATTGCCTTCAATGTTTGCTTATATCCCATGGTGATCTTTCCTGATCTGACAACCAATTAAAGTTTTTGATTCACACTCTCTTAAGCAACATTCTTCACCATTTTAAAATTAATTTAAAAATTTTAATATCATTTTTATTTCAATATCACTTTTTTCAATAATTCTTAGAATGGCAAAACATTAATTTTTATGAGCAAAATTTCTTAAGAGGCATTTGAGTATCTTAATAAACTAAGGCAGAATCCAAAATTAGCCATCCCTAAATTGCAAGAGCATTTAAAACTCTTCAAAGGAAACGTCTTATAGAAACCTGGAGAAATACCACTCTAAACAAATGAAGGTCCAAAAGCTGTCAATGGTAATTTTTTTAGGATATATACTAGAGTGCATTTCATTCTTACAAAATTAAAAGCCACTTGGACCTCTAACTTGGAGTAAAGGATTAGAATGTGCAGCTAGAGATCATGTTAAAGATACAGGACCAAAAGGAGTCACAGGTCATACAGGCACTGATGGATCATCCATGAGTGATAGAATAGAAAGATATGGAGAATGGGATGTTACTGTTGGTGAAAATATCAGTTATGGATAAACTACAGGAGAAGATGGTACTAATTAAATATCATTATTAGTTATCATTCAATTAATTATTGATGATGGTGTTTCATCTAGAGGACATAGAAAAAATTGCTTTAAACCAGAATTTGGAGTTGTTGGCATATATGATGGAGAACATAAACAATTCAAAACATAATGCGTTTTTGATTTTGCAGGATCATTTGAAGATAAACCAGGAGTTGATGCTAGTGCACCTTCACAGAATGTCTCATAACAATAACCAGAACAATCATCAAATAAATAACCAGATGGTCCTCCTCCAAAACCATAAGTAAAAGACCCTGATGATAAAATTACTTAAGATGCTTTCAACTATTTAAATTAAGTAAGATAAAACCCAACTCTCCCTATTCCAAAATTATAAAATTTAATGAAACTATTTAAGGGTAGTGTTCTATATAAACCTGGTGAAATACCACTTTAAACTAATGAAGGCACAAAAGTCATATAAGGTATTTTTTTAATTAAAGAACTAGAATTAATTGGATTTTTATAAAAACAACAACCTCTTCATCCATTAACATATGACAAAGGATTAGAATAAGCTTGTTCTGATCATGTTAAAGACACTGGACCAAAAGGTGTTTGTGGACATACTGGAACTGATGGATCATCACTTTCTGATAGAATAGAAAGATATGGAGAATGGAATGGCAAAATTGGAGAGAATATTAGTTATGGATAAAAATCTGGAGAAGATGTTATAATCTAACTATTAATTGATGATGGAGTTGGTTCCAGAGGACATAGAAAAAATTGTTTTGGTTAAGATTTCAATCTTGTTGGAATTGCTGCAGGAGATCATAAAACATATTAAACTTAATGTGTTTTTGATTTTGCTACAGAATTTACTCCATAAGGTCAATAACCTAAATAATAATCAAATAACTAAGGAAAAACAGTTGTATTGGGAGGAAAAGGAGGTCATGTTGGTGCAGCTCCTTAATAAGAGGATGAAGAAGAAGGTATTTTTTAATTTATAATATAGAATAATTGCCTCCTGGATGTGTATCTGTTAGTACATCATCTGCTGTAAGTATGAAAGGTGGACAAAAAGTTACCAAAATTACCAAGACCTATAAATTTAAAGATGGATCTACTAAGATAGCTGTTCAGACAATCACAGATGGATGATATTGAATATAAGATTTAATATTCAGTTATATTAGTAATTTTAATATGCAAATTCAAATTATTATATACCAAATTAAACCCATAAAATTTATTATCCATTTTTATCTAATTTATAATCAAATCAATTTCATATAAATTGGAACCCTTCGGGGTCATCCGTCAAATTGGAACGTAACAGAGAAGATTAGCATGGCCCCTGCGTAAGGATGACACGCATTAAGCGAGATGGTAGCTCATTTTTTTTTGATTTTTATCAATTTATCATATTTTTTTACATTTAAATTAGAAAATTTTATAATATATTATTATCATCTTAAGATTGTTTTAATTTAGAATAGTTAAATTTTAATTAATTTTTACAATAATGAATGTTCCATAATAGAGGGACTGATTATATGTAGTTATAAAGATATTTAAAAGTAAAAAAAAAGTATTTGAATTTCTGTAAGATCCTTTATATGTAAACCTAACTAAAATTTAGGAATAATGTTCAAAGATCAATTGTTAATTTATATTCAACTTTAGACAATAAATTATTCATTTGTTTTATTAAATTTATATTAGTATATTAATAGATTATTTAAATAACAAAATATGAGTAAATTAGAATTTTAATAGTTAATTATATAGGATTAATCCCTTAAATTCTTTAAAATACTAAATGATTATTTTTTAAATATAAATAATAATTTGTAAAGTCTCCAAAGTTTATATATTATATAGCTTCTAAAAGTGTGTTTATTAATTATAAGTTTATGAATATACTTATAATTAAACCTTTTATAAAGGTATAATTATAAATAAATAACAAATTTTAGGGATAAGATATTTTAATAGGTTTATTTGATAGAAATAGGATTCAGTTATTTATTAAAATTATCTTTTTTTAGTTTTATATGTATTCTACCCAATAATTAATGACCAATCATTAAATATATAATAAGTATTGCAACTATCCTAATTCAAAAAGAAAAAATTGATTAATAAAAATGTAAAAAAATAGAAATGGAATAACTTCCTAAAGGTAAATTTAAAAAGTAATTGTAGCTACTGTTTAACAATTTATAAAGACTTCAACAAATGGAGATATGAAATGCTCTAATGAATTTGTAACTTAGGTGATGTCAATGGCTAGAGAATATATCTAATTAGTTTCTGATTAAGCAAATACAATTTGTTTAGAGCAAGGAAAGAAGACTATATCAGGAGAATTTTTCTATAAGGCTATTTCAAAGTTAAAATTAGACAGTTAAATACCTCATCTTAAAGAAATAGAAGAAGAAATAAAAGAAGAAGTGAATGTATATATGAATTTTATTTTAAGGTTAAAAATTAAAATAGAGCAAGGTTTTAAGATGAAGAGCATTTGAAATAGTTAGAAGAATAATAGAAATTATTATATGAAAAAGCAAAATTGGAGAATAGTAAGAATATGATAGATGATGAAGAATAACATGGCAAATCAAGGAAATTGAATATATAATTTGAATAAGAGGATGAAGATGAACAATGAAATTAATCATTAAAATAATAGTATAGATTTTTAAATCACTCAAAATACTTTATTATAAAAAGTACTTAAAGAATTTGAAGAAAGAACATCTTCATTTATTTCTTATATTTCTATTATAAAATGATATATTTACAACTTATATTTAAACCAAATTCATATTCTGTTAAGAATTTTTATTAGTTATCATAAAATTTCTCATTATCAATATCTAAGAATTTAGGTAATTATTTAATCAATTGTTTAGTATATTCTTATGCTATTTTAGAATTATTTAAGTAAACTATTTAAATGATTATTTTTTTCTAAGATTGTTAATTCAAATAAATTGATTTCAATCCCAATAATGATTCTAGTTTGTAAACATTTCGAATGTTTTGAACTGAATTTAATTTTTGATTATTTTGAAAACCAGTGTTATTTTTTTGATTGTATATTATTTTTAATGTAATATCTACTTTATTGATTACCCTACTTTATTTTTTCAACTGGATTCACAAACTTTAATTAATGAATTAAAAGCTATTTTTATAATGAATATAATGGAATCGGTTGCTTAAATAAAATAGGATTTTACAATAGGTTGGGATAGATCTAATTTATTCAAGGTGATACTTCTTCCCCTTTTGGATTTGCTAGTCTACTAAGAGGCTGATTCTGGATGAACTTTATTAGGAGGCTAATGATATGATATAGTATGATTATTTTTCCTTTATAGAGCTTGGGAGAATTAAAGATGAGGCTTTTTATTAGATTTTAAACTTGAAGTAAAGGGAGGGGTATAAGTTTAGATTGAGTAATTCAGAATTGTCAATAAGAATGTTTACTTTTTTAACCTGTATTATTTATTAAGATTATTTTTTTAAATTAGACAAAAAAGATATTTTGATAATGATATAATTCGGAATTTAAAATAAACTAATTTAAGTTAAATATGTTCTGATAAAATCAATTATGAAGATAAACATAAAAAATCATCATTCATCTTTAGCTTTATCTAAGACATGAATTGGAGCTTATTTTATATAAGGATTGAATACCTAATATTTAGGTCTTGTTAGTTTCCACAATTTGACCATTCATTACCATTTCTTCCAAAATGTAATGAGCTTTTTCAATGTTAAACATTATCTAAATTAATAAAAAGATTACATCTAATTCGCAAACATTTTCAAAATATTTGTCAAGGGTTTCAACTAAATTATGTATAAATTCTAAATAAGCCATTTCATTCTTCATAATTATGATATAGAATTACCTCTTCTTCTAAATCCATTCCAATAATGAAATAAAGTGAGGCATATCTTCTGTAAATAATCTATATAATTAAATTTATATATATTATATTACCTTGTATCCTCTATGTTCAAGAAAACTACATTGGGTTTCATTTCTGGAAAGACATTTACGAATTAATTCTCCTTCGAGTGTCATTCTTTCCTTGACACTGAGAAATTGAAAATATTATGCTAATCTTGTTTATCCTTATTTGTTAACCATAAGAATGAAATTGATCATGCTTATAAAAATTATTATTAAAAAATAAATGGAAACTAAAAAAGTTAAATTAGCTGATTATGAAATAATGAATACTTTGGGGACTGGTTCATTTGGAAGGGTAAGATTAGCTAAATAAAAATCAAATAACAAATATGTGGCTTTGAAGATGTTAAAAAAAATTGAAATATTACGATTAAAATAAGTTGATCATATTATAAGTGAATTCAATATTCTGAAGTAAATAAAACATCCATTTTTGGTAAATATCATAAGTAAACATATTAGATTGAAATGAATGGGTATACTTAAGATGAAAGATACTTATATTTTGTATTAGAATATATATAAGGAGGAGAATTATTCACTTATTTAAGAAATGCTGGAACTGTATAAAATGAAGAAGCTTAGTAAAACTATTATTTATAGTAGATTCTATTCAGCTTAAGTTGTTTTAATGTTTGAGTATCTTCACACTAAGAATATAGTCTATAGAGATTTAAAGCCTGAAAATCTTCTTGTTTAAAATGATGGTTATCTAAAATTAACTGATTTTGGTTTTGCTAAAGTAGTTGAAGATAGAACTTATACATTATGTGGTACACCAGAATATTTAGCACCAGAAATCTTATTAAATAAAGGTATTATTGTATATATTAACAAAATTTAAGGTCATAGTAAACCTGTAGATTGGTGGTGTTTAGGAATCTTTTTATATGAGATGCTTGCAGGTATTAGTTTTATCGTTGAAATCCAAAGGAATTGATCCATTTAATGACGAAGATCCAATGGCGATATATTAGAAAATATTAAAGGGAAAAGTTAAATTTCCTCGTAATTTTGATAAGTAATGATTAAATTAATAATAAAATTTAGTGAAGCAAAAAGTTTAGTAAAACATTTATTAGAATAAGATGTAACAAAAAGATTTGGAAATTTAAAAAATGGAGTAGATGATATCAAATAACATAAATGGTATGAAACTCTAAATTGGAAAGATTTGTTCATTAAAAAATTAAAACCACAATATATACCAATTATTTAGTATAAATATTTATATATATATATGTAGATCTGATTATGATACTTCTAATTTTGCTACTTATCCTGATAGTACTGAATTACCAGACTCTATTAAATAATAAGATGATCCATTTAAAGATTGGTGACTAAAATGTTAAATTATTATATATATATATTTATTTTTTTATTCTCTCTTACTTATAAATTTGTTTAATTTTAACTTTATTCATAAATAATCTATAAATTCTATAGGTTTTTTTTAAAAGAATTCTAGATTGATAAAAAAGAAAAGAAATAATTAAAACCAAAAATAAATGTTTTTGAATAACTTGATTAGTTATATTAATCATCTTCCAGACCATGAGGCAACTTATTTCTTGAACATGATAATAACTTATTCTAAGATGGCATTTTCTTCATCTCTCTTAGCTTTAGCTTCAGCATAATCAGCTCTTCTGGCTTCTAAATCAGCTTAAGCTTAATCAAGGGCATCTTAGGATTCTTATAAGATAATCTTAGATTTGGCTTATTAGGCTAAGGCTGCTTAGATTTACTATAAATGATTAAAATAAATACAGTAGCTAATCTATCAGCAAAAACTTATTTTCTTTCATATTCAACTTTGAGATTAGCTAATTCAGCTTCACTTAATGAAACCCAACCAGCTAATTCCCATGAGGCATTGATTTCATTTACTTCAAGAGCTTCAAGTGAAGCTTAGAGGTTTGCTTCAAGTGATTCAAGTACTGCAAGAACTCTTTCAGCAAGTGTTGCACCTCTACTGACTCCATCTTCTTATTTGGTTTAAGCCAAACTCAAAAAAGTCTTGATTTCTTAATCATTAAAGAGATTGCTATAAGCCTTGAGTTTTTATGCAACACTAGTAGTTTTTTCTTAGACTAATTCAAATGAATCTCCATTAATGATATAACCAGCAACATCTTATTTGAGAACTCTGACAACTTCAAGAGCTTCTCTATTTTATTTAATTGATCTAACGAAAAGTTAATTACTAAGACATTATTCATCAAGAAGGACATCAATTTTTCTGACAATTTCATCTTATCTTTATTCATTCCAAGCAAGATAATTTTTGGTGTCTTGTAGTTCTTATTCGAAAAGGACTCTATTTTCAACTGATTATTAGAAAAGCTTTTAGTTGAGTGCCTTAATCTTTGTGAATTATTCAATTGTTCTAAGATTATGAAATATAATTACTATGCTCCAACCCATTCATCTGTTTCATTCTTTTAATCAGCAGCAAATTGAGCATCTTTATTAGATTAGATAAGATCATTCAATAAACCATAGACAGTATCAATGGCATCCATAGCTTTTGTACCAGTTTAGAGTAGAGCCATAATTTAATCTTATGTAGATGTTGCAGATGCAATGCTTATCAACAAGAGAATTGCAAGTGTGGCTTTCATTTATTAATATTTATTGTGTTTGTCATACGATTCTCAATTTATTTAATTCTCAAAAACGGGTAAAAATGGATGATGAGGGATTCGAATCTGCTTTTATTGAAACCTTAATAACTTAATAAGATAAGTAACCTACATTCATATTCACTTCTCTTCCAACTCCCAATCCAATTATAAACTAATTATACAATAGAGGAGTGACAAATGACATAAAAGATATCGAAAATTCATTTAAGTGTGTTTATAAGAAATAATATGGATCAAAAGTGAGTAATCAACATTTTAAATAATTAAATCTCAATGAATTATAAACACCTACAATCATTCAAACTAAGCAGTTACCACTATTTGATTCCAATTTTACATGTGGAAATCTAGCTGCAGTTTATCAAGTGGATAAATTTGAATATGATTTACTTCTACAAGAAGACATTAACTCTACTAGCTATTCTTAATGGTTTTACTTTAGATTAACTAATCCCAACGATTAAAAATGTAGAATAAACATCATTAATATGGTAACTTATAATATTTAACAAAAGACTAAGAATTATTTACAGTATTAAAATGGTTTTGGAGTGTATATAAAATTAGATTCTTAATGGGAAGTACTCAAATCTTAAGTATTAGTCAAATAATCTTAATATTTTAAATCCAATTTCTGTAAAACTACAACAACTAAATTATATACTCTCTCTTTTTGGATAAATAAATCATCTAAGACAGTTGAGATTGCACTTGGAATTCCTTATACTCATTTAGATTTAGATAAATATTTACTTAAATTTCAATCAGAAATCCTTGCATATACAATCTCAGGATTACCTGTAAAAATGGTTCAATTTGGATCTAAAAGAAGTGATGTTATTATAGTTATTGCACGTTAACATCCTGGAGAGACTGTATCTTCTCATGTATGTTAAGGTTTTCTTGAGGCTTTATCAAATGACAAAACATTATAATTATTTTATAATATAATTGTTATTCCAATGGTTAATCCAGATGGAGTCAAATGGGGTAATTTTAGATGTGATTTAAGTGGGAAAGATTTGAATAGAGTATGGTAAAATCCTAGATTAAAATAACATCAATAAATAATTTAAATAAGAAATCTTATTCAGAAAATATTGAATGAAGGTAGAGAAATAAAAACATTTATTGATTTGCATGGTCATTCAAGAAAATTAGGAACTTTTATGTATGCTTGTAGAAACAATAATGATCCTATTGAATGTAGAATATTACCTATGATAATGGCAGAAAATTCTAAATATTTCGATTTCAATTCATGTACATTTAATTTAAAATCTTATAAATTAAAAACAGCAAGAGCTTTTGTTTATAATTAAATTTAAAAATTTAATCCTAATAGTTTTCATAATATTGTAACTCTTGAAACATCATTTTTTGGTTATAAATAAGATAATAAAATAATTTAATATTCTTAAATTGATTTAACATAAATTGGAATAGATTTACATTAATCATTAAAAATATATCATATGTAATAAGAATAAAAAACAAAAATATTTTAACATCTTGAATTAAATAAATAGTATTATTAATAAATTGATGAAAATTAACCCTCAGATGATAGTGATTCAGAACCTGAAATTGGAATAATTCCTGATGAAAATATTCAAAAAAAAACTATTCTATCCAAAAATTCTATTAAATTTTTAGGTGATGTACCTAAAACTAGTACTTTAAAAAAAAGAACTTTAAAAAAAGTATCAAATCCATAATTAGTTGGATAATATGATAAAAATTATAGATTTAATAGATTGTCAAGAACTAATAGCAAATCTTAAATAGCCATAAATTAAACTGTTTAAATATAATAAACATTATCTCCTAATATTAATAACTTTTATAAAATCAATAGAAATCTTTCATCTCATAATACTGATCATATTCATATGTATTCAAACAATGGTGAAATATATGAAAATGTTCAATCATGTAGATTATTAAGATAAAGTACAACAAGAACACCTAAAGAGTTTAAAATGAAATCTGAATAAAGATTAAAATTTCATAGTCCTAATGACAAACTCATAATATTCGAATAAAATTTGAAGATAAAAAGAAAGAATACCTAAAAAATTAAATTATTTTGAATAAATACATATAATTTTCTATAAATTCATAACAATATTATCTAATTGACAAAATATTTTTGATAAAATTTATTGTATAAAAATTCAATTATTATTATATTATATGGACTCGAAATCTCCATTATCTGTATATTTCTATAATAATAATTAGGCAAGTGTCATTTCATTTAGAAATGATCCAAATGATGATACTATCTATTATATGATACAAGTCAAAAATAAAACAAGTGATATATGGTAATTAGAAAAAAGGTATTTGCGAAATCTAAAATAGATTTTCTCAATTTGAAGACTTAGCCAAAAAATTAAAAGTTCTCTTTGGTGAATAATTGCCTACACTTCCTAAAAAGAAATATATAACATTTTTAGTTGGTAAAACACCAGAAGACTTAGAAAAAAGAAAGGCAGGTTTAGATGAATTCATACAAGTAAGAATACTATAATAATAATAAGAATTTAGCAAGCAGACCTGAAGTAGTTGCATCTGAACCACTAAAGTAATTTTTAGAAATTGAAAAGAATGCAAAAGAGATTATAGTGAATCCTCCAAAATAAATATTTGAGTTCAAAGGATTCTTGCATGGAATAAGAGATTTTACAATAAGTTCAGAATAAGGATTAATGTTTGTTATTACATCAGATTGTTCAGTTATGAATAGATTAGATGCTTATTTAACAAATATGAAAGCACCATGGGAATCTGAAAAAGGAGATTAAGCATTAATACCTGTTGGATGTGTTGAATGTTGGTTATAATAAGAGAGTGGAGAATTTTAAAGATTATGGGTTAAAATGTACAATTCTTAAGCCATAACTTGTTATTGGGATGCAACAGCTTCTGTATTACTTGTAGGATTAGATAGTGGATCAATAAATTATTTATATGTACCAGAAAAGGAAGGTTTTAAGAAATTCACTGAGAGTATGGAAATTGAATAACATACAGACAGAGTTATGGGATTGTATTATGATAATAAAAGGAAATATTTACATTCAATATCAAAAGATAGAAAATATAGAGTTTTAAATCTTAGAAAAGGAGAATTAGTAGCAGGTAATTAATAATAAATTATAATTTAGATATTGAACCTGATTAATATGAATTGACATGTCTCTTAGGTAGTGAAGAAAGAAAGAAAACATTTGTAGGAGATAGACATGGAGAAATATTTATTTATGATATTGAGAAAGTATATTATTTATATTAAAACATTTTAGAAACGACCTAAATTAATTATTAAGATTCCTACTACTTAATTGTTTATTAGAGGGTTTTTTATAGATAATTAAAGGAATTATCTATTTTCAATTAGTCATGAAAATGGAGTTATTTTAATAGTAGATATATAATTACCTGGAAGAGAGTAATATGCTAAAGAAGTAGCTTAATTAAATGGTAAATCAAAAAGTAGAGAAATTGGATGGTCATCAAAAAGAGGTGAAATTTATGTTGGTAATATTGATGGTACTGTTACTATATGGGATGCTCGAAAATCTCAATAATTATGTATTATATTTTATTATTACTTAGATGTATTAAAAGCTCATGATTCTGATATTACAAAATTATAATGGTTAGATGCTGATTAAACTCTTTTGACAGCTGCTAAAGATAAAGTAATCAAGGTTTGGTCAATGCCTTAATATTGGAGAGATCCAAAAATTGTAGAAAAAGAATTAGAATAGGATTAATTATAAGCTAAACAATAAAATGTTGAATAGTTTTATAAAAAAGCATAATAACAAATTGATCAAAAATTCTAAGATGATGATGATGATGATATGGCAGTTTGGCATAAGGATTAATAAAGATATTCAGACACTAAGTATGAAGATATTATTGAATTAAAATGAGTATTATTTCAGTTTATTGCTCTCAAAATATCATAACTAAATATATATATAATTAAAGAAGATATAATTATAGTATCTCAAGGATACACGTAAAATTATCTTATAATTTAAACATTCAAATAATATCCAATTTATTATTTATATTTAATCATCTTAAAATTTATTTTGATTATTTAATTTACTTTATTTAATTAATCTTAGTTATGCATTTTTTAATCTATTTTCATATTTTCAATTATTATGTTATATTCATATTAAAATAATATCTTTAAGTTAAATACTATAGACAAAATCTAATTTTATAATTAATGTTAATAATTATGCTTTGCAACTTAAATTATATTAATTATTGATAGAATTAATTTTATATAGTCAAGTTATTAAACTGCAATATAAACTTTAATAATGAAGTAAAAATGTATGAATTCTATTATAATTGTATATAATTATATAAAAAAATCTCAAATATAGAATTTGATAAAAAATTAATACATTATAAAAATCAAGAATCTTTAATTTTCTATAGTATCCATTAAAGACATAATCCTCTAATAAGGATCTCATATTGATATTAAAGTAAATTATATCTAAGAATAAAGTAATGCTTTATTATATAGTTATTCGTATATTCAGAATTATGAAAAAGCAAAAATAAGGTAATTAACGTATCAATGACCTCAAAAAATAATTATTCTAATGATAATTATATTGGATTTTTGTACTTAACTATTTATAAAACATTTAATTAATGCGTCTTAGTTATATAAGCAGACTTTAAAGTTAAGGAGTTGAAGTATATAAACCTTCAGAAGGAGAATATGTAATACCTAATAGAGTAAGATCAATTCTTTAAAGTAAATTTTATAAACGACCCAAATCAGCTATTAAAGGTGCAAAATAACAAACTTAAAAATCTGAGAGTTTTTGGGTTTCTCCTTTAAAAAACAAAGATGCTCCAGAAGTTATTCATCGAAATAAATCTCAACCTAAAAAGAATTTTTATGTTATATCTGTTAATGAAATCACAAAAAAAAAGAGAAATAGTTCAATCACTCCAAGTAAGTTAAAAATAAATCATCAGATTGATACTTCTTAAGATTAAATAGAAAAGAATATCATTTAAGGAATATCTAAATCATTAACTAATAAATATTCAACTCCTAAATGTAGAGTTTTTACAGAACCAGAATAAATTGATAATAATAACGATTCTTTTTTAGATGTATTATAGTATAAAACAGGGATTCAGATTTTAAAGGAATCATTATTAAATATTTACTAAGCATTACCATTTGAATTGAATATAACTTAATAAAGAGAATTAGTTAGAAGGATAGTACTTCAAGAGACTCATCTAATTGAAAAAAAAAATTAATAAACATAAGAATGGGTAAATAAAATGAGTCCAATTTTAAAGAAATAATTAATGGAAGATAAAACCTTTTGGTATCCATCAACAAAATTAAATTATAATATTATAAAAAAGTAATTATATTCTTTATTAAAGAGATATAAATTAAATTTTTGGAGTAGGAAGTTCAAGATTGCTATAACCTGGAGAGGAAGCATCAATTATAGAATTAATGATTCAGATCTTAGAATCCAATTAAAACATATTAAAAATTCTAAAAACAGATATCTAAGGTATAATTATAATTAAATATTAATAGATATATGTAAATAAATATTATAATTTTAATAATTGGAATATCTTTAATAATATCCATAATGTATGAAATAAATCTTATATCATTGGTAATTATTTGTGACCAGATTATTATGTATTTAAGTATAAAAAGAAAACAATTAAATTACAAGTTAAGATCTAATTATATTATGTAAAAGGAACCATGCTTTAGATTTTAGATAAGATAAATAAAACACTCTAGCAACAATGCTCCTGAATTATTTATAAAATTGATTAAAACTATGAAAATATATGAATTATTTAATATAAAAATACTTAATTTACATGTCAATATTATATTTAAATTGTATTTATTATTTTATTAGATTATCTTATTTATAAATTTCCAATTTAATAGAAATTCTTAAAATTCATAAAAACTATTACAAATATATCATTAATTTTATTATTTGAATATATAATAAAATATTAATAATAATGCTGTTAAAAAAAAAAAAAGAATTCGAAAATCAGAAAGGGAAAGAGAATATTTTAATTTAAACTTCATCTAATAAAAAGGGAGAATAATAAGTTAAACACAAGCTTCTATTACCTAAAGATTTGCTTTATAAATTATTCCTTTTTTTAACACCTAAAGAGATTAATAAACATATAAGAACACTCAACAATTAGTATTTGTAACTAATAAATTAATAATTCTGGAATGTATTATTCTTATTTAATAATTAGTATTATAATAGATATAATCCTCTATAATTTGATGACTTATATTCAAAGTTCAAATTTCTATAAGAAAGAAGATCAAAAGGGAAATTATATCAAGTTTGTAATAGGTTAACTGGTTAATACTTTGTGCTTAGAGAATTAGATACAATTAAGGCAAATGCAAATCATAATGATGGAATATAAACATCTGTTTTAAGAGAAATTTCATATGTGAAATCCTTAAAATCTCATGAGAACATAGCTTCTATTGTATAAGTTAAAATCAATAATCCTATAGTGTAAATTTTATATGATTATTACCCTTTAAATTTAAGAGAATAATTAAAAAAGACAGATTTATCAATTGAATAAATAAAGTCACTCTTTTTGCAAATATGTAGAGGTGTAGAATATTTACATTAAAATCATATTTTACATCGTAATTTGAAACCTGATAATATATTCATTATAAATAAGATAGTTAAAATTTCAGATTTTGGAATGTCTAGATTAGAAACCTTTCCTATAATACCTTATACACCAGAAGATCCAAAAGAAAGAGAAAGATCAAATAGAGAAGTTAAAAGATTATGGTATAGAGCTCCAGAAATGTTATTTAGAAAATAATATTACAGTTGTGAAATTGACAGTTGGTCATTGGGATGTATTTTAGCTGAAATGGCTTTAAGGAGTCCATTATTTAATGGCAAAACTGAAATTGAATATTTATTTGAAGTATTCTAATTTTTGGGATCACCTGATGATAATGACTGGAATTCAATATCAAGTGATGTCAAATTTAAATTCCCTTAATGGAAGAAATATAATCTATAAATCAATGAATTAAATAAAAATGATATAATAGATATAATTTAGAATAGAAAATAGATTTATGAAAAATTATTAACTCTTAATACAATTTTAGGTAAGGATGGAATAGATTTATTATAAAAACTATTATGTATAAAACCAGAAAATAGATTAGATATAATAGAAATTATTTAGCATCCTTTTTTAAATGCTTTAAATCAAAATATATAGATTCATTATTTAGAACCAAAATTCAAAGAATATTTGGAATTCTAAATAGAAATTAATTAAACAATGCGAAGTACTTTAATAGATTGGTTGATTGATGTATGTATTCATTTTGAATTAATGGATGAAACATTGCATTTATCTATCATATATATTGATTTAGTATTATCAAAAATTAAGATAAGTAAAAAGAATTTATAATTGATAGGAGTTACATCCTTAAAATTAGCAGAGTAATATATTTGATTAAATTAATAGTGTTTATAATGAAAGATCTAAGGAATACTTTAAATAAGAGAATTGTAATGCTTATGCTTATATTACTGCAGATGAATATAATGAATAATAAATTATTGATATGGAATAGCAAATTCTTTAAATTTTAGATTATAATTTAAGTTACAGGACTCCAATTTAAATCTTAAAAATAATAAATTCAAAACTAAAAGTTTCAACTGAATCTTAATTGTTATCTTATTATTTTTGTGACTTTTTTATTATGGGATATGAATAACTTATTATTGAAAGATAATTATATGCTATTTGTTGTTTATTATTGGCTTTGAATACTAAAAATGAATAGATAAATTCATCTTAACAATTTTAATTTACTGAAAAAGATGTAACTGAAGCTCTTGATAGACTTTATAATGTATGGTAATTTATTAAGTTATAACCACAAATTAACTCTTTAGATGCTTGCATGTAGAGACATAAACATTTAAATCCAAGAGATATATAATTAAATATTCCAAACTCAGAGTTTATAACTTAATTTTTAAAATGATAATTCTTTTTATATATATATATATATATAATGCTGCTCATAATTGTTCCTTCAAAGACACTACCTTCCGTATTTATCGTTGAATGATTATTTAGAGCTATGTACAAGACTAATATTTTTAATTTATTTTATACGAGTTGCCCATCTTGTTGAAAACGCTGACATCTTCATTCAACTTAATCTTCTTAATAGTATGTGGTTCTTACTATGTGCTGTCTTGATGTTCAACGCTATCCTCCTAGATGGACGAGAAGTAACCACATCTATCAGAATCGGAATGAAGAGTCGGTGTATTTTGAGGTATACTTCGATTCTTCTAAAATTCATCAGCCATAGAATGGATGAGATTGATGACTTTGTTCTTCCTAAACTTCAATTTGTGGTTTTTAGATTCAGTGTGCTTATATTATATATTATTTTTTTACTTAAAGATAATCCTCTATATATTATTTACAAACATTGCAATAAGTTTTAGTTCCTCTTGGTTTTGGGATAAACTTCAAATAGTAATTATATATTTACTAAATCTTTATTCTTTTCCTAAACTTCTTATAATTTCTTATCAAATTAAGATCTATAATGAATGCTATTGGCCAAATGCACAGGCTAAAATTTAATAAAATAAAATACCTAATCTATCTAAAGGATAAAGCCAGGTTACGATGGCTCTCCGTCATTGTTAAATATCGGCACTGTATTTTGTTTACATCCTAAAACTCTGAACTTTAGAATTTAACTTACTCACTATACATAGGGGAATAATCGATTGCAATCTTTGTATCAACAGAATCCTTACAACGAGGTTTCATCAGAAATACATAT